CCCGGAACCCTGGCGAAAGAAAGAGAGAGAGAGAGAAGAGAGATAGAGTGAGACCCCTCTACGAAAGGCAGTGGGGACCCGCAGATATGGTGTTCAACGTCTCCCAACAAAGGCTTACCAGTTTGGGGGGAACTGCACCGGGGGACAGCCTCAAGACCCTCCCGGCTACGAAGCGTGAAGCGCTCGCCGACACTCTCTTCAACCAGGCCTACTCATGACGATTGGACTCTTCAGCGGGGAGAGCAGCACCTCGACTCTACGCCTACCCTCCTCAAGGAAGATCCGTTACAAGCTTTCGCTATTTGGTCGGCCTGCAAAGTGCGTTGGAGGGAAAGACTGCGGATCCCCGCCTCCCAGATCTTGAAGATCCTGGACAGCAATACCAAACTACCCACGCTGCTGGGGGAGGGGAACACCTCGCGAACAACCTCCCACGCGGGCGAAGAGAAACCTGGAGCCCAAGCAATCCAGGAGGACACAGCAGGACCGAGCAGCATTTGCGGGGGAGAAGTCCGCAGAAATGCGGCAAGCAGCGCAGAAAAGGAAGAGAAGACACAAGGGGGAGACAAAGACGAAGTAGACTGGAACGATCTAGAACATGACGTATGCAAGGATCTTTTCACAGGTGTCATAGGTTGTAGGTATCAAAGGTAGTAGATATAGAGAAAGCAGCGATTGAATGAACAGAACGGACATAAACTCGGCACCTTGACCACCAGGACCAGCTTTAGCACTAGTGATGGCAATGTGGCATAGCAGCATAGCATTTCAACCAGTGCATTGTAGAGTCGTAGAGTTAGCGCAGAATCGCGGCGGATGTAGGAGACCTTCTCGGCATTGTCTGCAGACAACCTCGGTGATCTTCTGAGGTGCAAAGTGCAGTGATGGGGTTCGTAAAAAACAGAATTTTGAGAGATGCGTAGGTCCTTTCGTCACGCCTTGGCTCTCGGTGCCAAGGCGGTGGGGCCCGCCTCCAGAACAACCTGCCGATTGGGAGACGCCACGACACCGGGCCAAAATACCAGTCACAATTTCCGAGCTACCGGAGTCACTTCCAGATTACCGGTTTTCGGATCTGTTGACTGGAGTGAGTTGTACATGATGGCAACTGTTGCTCGGCCGTGTCTTCCGACCCTTGTTTCTGAATGGTGGTGTGCTTTAGGCAGGAAGCCAGCAGGAAAGGGACGAGGCAGGAAGGAAGTAGCTCAGGAGTATGGACAGGATAGGGAAAAGGAAACACGGCAACGAAGACGTGAAGAGAGGAGGAGGCACGGCCATGTTACGGTGGGATGATTGGCTAAGCGGCTCAGATTGGAACTGCCGATAGCCCTAGCATGGCTTCTGAATCCATCAGCAGCACAAGTAATCTGGGTTGTGTTGAATATTTTTGATCTGTTTGGGCTAAGATGATTGATTTGTCTTTTACGGCAGTAGTAGCGACCCTTGTGTTGCCGCAGCGCTCCGGTTCGAGCTCTATGACCCTCACTACCAGTAGAACAAGGCTGCGGAAACCAACATTGGTTTCCCAGCGAAATGGCCTAACGACGATGTTCATATCTTGTCCTACGCTCATCCCACCGATGGTTCGACAAAGTTTGTTGAAACCATACCATCCAGTAATCAGCAGGGCTTATTTCTCAGGTACGGTCATAGCATTTTTCATTTTCTTTCCTCAAGATCAGCTTTGCAAGCCCTGAGTTATGGCCGAGGATCGCGTCACGAGACCCTGGCCGAAAGCCCCGTGCCGGTGGTGGAGGAATCGCCACGCGAGGCCGTGGACGAGAGCCAGGATCAGATGCTGGAGGAGCTTCCAAAGGAGCTGCTTGCAAGCTTTTAGAGATGTTTTAGACTGCCTGACCGGGTCAATCTGTTCAGCCACCCCCTTTTGCAAACAGACTGCACGGTTCCAAACCGTCAACCCCATACAAGAAGGTCAATGCTGCCCGTCGAGCCACGGTGCCAAGTAAACCACAATGAACTTGTGCCGGGAGTAGTAGCTTGTCGTTTCATTCGCAGCTCCGTGCGCTGAGAGTTTTTCTAAAGCGCACCGCTGAGAAAAGCCTGTTGGCATCTCATGTGAGGCAGGTCCTGAAAGAGCTTCCAGCCAACTTAGCTGATGCTTTTGAGGCGTGGTGTCCCCGCTTGATTGCTGACTCAGTTACACAAACTACATAAGCCCATGCTGGCTGTTAGGTGCAACCGAAGCAGGCTCTCAAGCGAGAGTTTACGCAAGGTCAAGATTTGCATGCTACGCTGCGCACTGTCCGAGTCCTTGCTCCTGTTAGTAGTTGGTGGTCGCGACCGCGGGCTTGAAGCTCGCTTCTGCGCTGTCCAATTCCTCTTCTGAAAGGTCCGTTTTATGAATGTAGGGTTGTCTCTGTCCGATTTTCAGCACGTTCTTTGCCGCAGATGTGGCCTTGCCTGCTCCAAGCGTGTCCTCAGCAACTGGAACATGGATGAAAATGGGTTGTTGTGAGTCTCATGAGTCTCTGCCTGGCTGCCCATGCCGGACCTCTGACTCTGAGAGGCCCACACAGAGAGAAAGAGAGAGCGAGACGCTTTTCCCGATGGTCCCAATATTGTCGGGTTGTGCTTGTTGTGTCGGGAGAGGGTAACGTCCTCTCTCGCAGGCCTGAAGAAAGCGGCCTCCAGAAACGCGACGACGGCAAATGTTAACAGCAAGCCCGACCTTGCTCGCCGGAAGACTCAAGACTCATTCTTACGGGAGTTGTATAATGCTTTCTTCAAGACCCTTCAACAGCTCGGAGTCGTGCTGCATTGGGACAGGAGCCACCGGCAGAAGTGGAGGAGCAGGAACCGCCCAGCGAGCCTGCACCCAGCCTTCCGGCGCATGAACGGGCCAAGCAAGTTTCAAAGGCGCCCTACTGACAGCAATTTCTCCAATGCTTCCTGGCATCAGGGCTAAGCTACCTGGCGAAGGGAGCACAGGGTGTGTCCGTTCCGTGGCAGGCTTCCACAGGCAGTGCACGCACTGCAGATGGGGAAGCTTGCAAAGAATCGACCCAGAGCTTAAACCGAAGCTCTCGAGGCGGGCGTGATCCAAGATAGGAATTCGTTCCCCTGCCTTGATAGGTTGACAGGTTTCCTGGTTTCCTTTGATAAATGCATCTGACAACCTTAAGTCAGCGAGAGAGAGCGAGAGGCAGAGTCTGTTCAACTTTGATCACGCATTGAACCCGGAGCTCGCTGATGGGTCAAAGGCCGGCGACCGTCCTCCCTGTCCTTACCCGCGGAGGACATCAACATTGAAAGGGCATGCTGAAGGTTTACATGCCTGCATACGCTGCCACCAATCAGCATGTGCAGACTGAGAAGGCTTGTTGCATTTGAGGCGACGAAGCTCGTGCTTCGGGGGTGAAACGACGTACTCTGTAGCTTCCGTGCATGCCGGCCAGTGCAGTGATTCCAGTAATTTCCTGTCTCAGAAGACTCAGACAGGATGCCCGGCGCTGCGCAGCTGAGCTCGCAGTGATGGCAAGAAATGTGTCAGCCAAGGCTGTCTGCTGGAAGTTTACATTGCACGGCACAGTTTATGAAACGGAAACGCTGAATACCTCCGGACTACGGAGGTTGCCTTACATAGGCAAGATGTTACATGTTGGATCTTGATGAGCTTTCCTAGCTCAAGACTGCGCGTCCGTGCCCGCTAGGAAATCCGCGAGCTTCGCATGTTGAAGCGGCGCCACGCCTGCAGTTGAAATGGGACTGGGGGGCTCCTGAGATCTCGTGAGGATTCGCATCACACAGCAAGTGATGGACAGCCGCAGAACCATGACTTCGACTTGTCGGTAATTGAGTTGTTCGAGCTCTCGACTTCCAGTCCAGAGGCATATGAACGGACATCGTGCTCATGGCCTGGCATGTGCAGCAGTGTGTTGCCACTCCTGAGTTCACAGATGGGACAGCCTATAGGCCTCCGCAGCCGAGCCATACAAAGCACCCTGTCCTCGTGAATCCTGACTCAGGCCTCCGGAGGCTGTGATGAAGCTCTTGGAAGCGCTGAGCACTTTGTCTGCAAAGGAGAGGGTTGAGGTGCACCCCTCGTTTGAGAAAATCACTGGGCTGCCCGTTTGTGTTTTGCTACGGGAAACTAAATTGCTCGCCTGGCTTGTCCGAGTTGTGAGAGCGTAAACTGCTTGGCAGACGTCTTCCTGCTTCCGTGCAGAATCCCATTTTGATCAGGAGCTAAAGCAACTGCACAAAACAGAACTCTTCCGTATTTGGGACACCGCTGGGACAGGTAGCCAGAAGGCAGATCCCCGCTGTTTTACAACTTCAGAGCGTGGGAGCGGACAGATCGCAGTTTAAACTTTGGATTGAGTAGAGAGTAGAGCATTCCATTCGTGAGGAAAGGTTCTACGAGGCAGCCGTTCTCACTGCATGTTTTTTTGTGTCTGTCTCTGTGTGCGCGTGCGGGTGCGGGTGCGGGTGGGGGT